TTTGCTGATAATACAAAGGATTGCAACAGGGTTGATGTTCTATGAGTGATAAGCCAAATGGCAAATGATTTAGGTTAATTAGAAAACTGGTAAAACTAGAAAAATGGCAACTGACATTTAATGTGGATAAGTGCAAGATAGTGCAGAGGCAGAGTATACATGTTTGATATCCTTACATCATCATCTGAGGAAAGGAATTTAGGGGTGATTATTTCAGATGACTTAAAGGTAGGCAGACAATGTAATAGAGCAGCAGGAAATGCTAGCAGAATACTGCTAATACCTGCTAGGGAGAGGTATTAGCAGTAGAAAGATGGAAGTGCTCATGCCATTGTACAGAACACTGGTGAGACCTCACTTGGAGTATTGTACACAGTACTGGAGACCGTATCTTCAGAAGGATATTGATACCTTAGAGAGGGTTCAGAGAAGGGCTACTAAACTGGTTCATGGATTGCGGGATAAAACTTACCAGGAAAGGTTAAAGGATCTTAACATGTATAGCTTGGAGGAAAGACGAGACAGGGGGGATATGATAGAAACATTTAAATACATAAAGGGAATCAACACAGTAAAGGAGGAGACTATATTTAAAAGAAGAAAAACTACCACAAGAGGGCATATTCCTAAATTAGAGGGGAAAAGGTTTTAAAATAATATCAGAAAGTATAACTTTACTGAGAGGGTAGTGGATGAATGGGATAGCCTTCCAGCTGAAGTGGTAGAGGTTAACAGTGAAGGAGTTTAGGCCGAATAGTTCTTATCTGCCGTCACATTCTATGTTTCTATGCGCCCTCTGTCCGAGATTAGGAACCTAAAGGATCAATCAGTCGTAAGAGGGGGTAGCCGGAGAGAAGTCACAGAAAGGATCAATCAGTCGTAAGAGGGGGTAGCCGGAGAGAGGTCACAGACAGCGTAAGGCCTTAGGCGGCCTCCCAACTCCCAGAACTAGAGAGCCTATATTGTTTCTTTAACTGCTCAGTCATGCATCTTTTCCAGTTCATTCAGTAATAATACCTACATAATATTGTTTATTATATACCAATAAAAGCTCCACATTTAGGTTTTTGCATTAACAAGCAGATGTTTAATGTTACTATCAGACTTTGTTGATGTATTTAATTGATTGTATTTATCTCTTCTATGCTGATCTCACCTTTCTCTCCATCACCACCCAGTTGGCCTCAACTAATTCAAATCTCCTTTTTCTGTCTCTAGTTAATAAACTTCTATTTCTCTCTCCCCATTCCTACTTTAAGGTTCCTATCCATCCACTCCCCCAGCACACCAGACCCATTTCCATTCAGTTCAATGCAGCACAGCTATACATAGTGTAACCACTGGAATATCATAAATATGATGTCACTTATTTGTCTTAAATAAGTATAGTGATGAGGCAACTCACACAGCCAACCTAAAAAAAAAAAAATCTAAATTATTTTACAGCACAATGTGTTTATTTTAAAAGTTATTATTTCCTGCTCTGTAAATTGAACTTTAATCATACAGAAGGCTTTTGCAAGTTATAGTAGATAATTAACAGAATAGAACATAAAGGTTATGATCTATACAGTATATCCAAACTACTTCACTAAGAAAAAGTTGTTTTGGTGCTTGAAGTACTCCTTCAGTGTGAGGACTTTTTAATAATTTAAGTGTGGTTTTCTTTCCCCCTCCTGGCAATACTTAAAAAGAGAATTTTTTTTTTATGGATAAATGCACATATCACTCAAGACAGTCAGCTTTTAAATGTGCATTACAGATTATCAAAGGAAACTTTTGTTAAAAAGTAATGTATGAATGAAGGTTCCCAAAGTGCGGAAAGTTGACATTTTGTGTGCTGCAATCAATATACTTTCTAGTTTAGTGAAAGATAATTTGAAGTTATTTTTACGTGTATTTTCCAAGGTATGAAACACTTGGTTCTACAGATTTTTAAACTGAAAGGCTATAATCAGAAATTGTAATGCAGAAACCATTAAGAAACCTCTCCATAAATATCATTACATAGATTTTGTACTAAAAATGCTTATTTCATGAAAAAACTTCACTTTTGAAAAAAGTATAGCATTTACATGAAACTTGGGATACATAGTTACTATGCAAATCTATTACAAAAATTATGTCAATAAATTGCTGTTCATGGATACCTAACATTTAAATTTTAAAAATGTCATTAAAATGTATTCATTCATATTTTAAATACTTATTGGTAGAATAATCTATTATAATGTACATTATCACTTAGCTTGCAATACATCAGATAGGCCAAAGGTAATGGAAACTTGACTTGCACATTAAATTTAAAATTAAATGGAATTCGTCCAAATTTTGGGTGGTCAGCAGGTCATCCAGTTTCCATAACTACGAATAGCCGTATTGAAGAATCATGAAACAATTGAAATGGAGAATAAACAGTTTCATTTGTTACTTCATTTGGAGTAACACAAACACCAGAGATGATTTACAGGAAAAAAAGATGATTGAGATAGCCACTAAATGTTGATTTTTAGATAGATAGATATATTATATTATTTAATAAATACATAATATATAAATATAGAAGTTTTACTGCTCCTCATTTTATCCCTATCAGAGTTTGCAGGAATATATGATCTGCAAACTTTCTTTGTCTTAGGGATGAGCATAATCACCTAGCAAAGCTAGTGGGTGTGCGTCAGCCTCCCGGAGTCAAATGCCAGAGCTGAAAACGCTCACGCTGTGCATCTGCACAGGAACAGCATTTCAGCCAGTCAGGTAATCAGGAAAGCCGTGCTGAGCGCGGGAATCCTGATTGCCTCAGATTTTTAAAACAGATAAACCAGAATGGAACTTAAGGGTAAGAAATTCTAAAGCCAATGGAACGGCAGCAGATCCCTGTGTGTTAGACAGAAAAGAAACCTCCCATTCTTTGAATTCCTCGATCATCTTTCTATATCTTACCCTAGTTCTACGTCTTAAAGATGAGTTAATAATATCCAAACCTGATCCGATAAAAGGGGATGTGTTAGCCTACCAGGGCTGTGATCCACAAGAAGATCACTGGTTCCCTGAAAGCAGTCCATTGTCATGCCCAATGGGATCTTGGTTCCCTTGACTAACTGATGGATCAAGGGATACCAGGGTCTGGAGGTCCATACTGGATAAACGAGAACTAAGCTCTGTACCCAGTCCCTGCGGATCTTCTCCAGCACTTTCATCGGTAAAGATGGAGGGGGGAAAGCATAAGGGGCTGGAACATCTGTCTATTGGAAAGACATTGCATCTATTTTCCAAGCTCCCTTTGTCCAGGTCCGGGAGACGAATCTGGGAGTTTGTGCAGATGTTTGAGATGCAAACAGATCTACCTGTCTCTGGCCAAAATTGCTTTCTATCCATTGGAATAGAGCAATCTTTAATTGAATCAATGCCAGGGACAAACTTTGGCGAGAGAGAGTCTGCAAGCTCGTTCACCTCTCCCGGAACGTATTCTGCGAAAACCTGAACATTGCTTGCTAAAGCCCAAGACCAAAGATCTAGAGCCTCTAAACAAAGACCCCTTGATCTTGTGCCCCCTCTGTGGTTTATATAAGCCACCGCTGTCCTGTTGTTCGATTGGGCTTTTGCAGACGTCGGTGACTGGTTTAGAGGAACTAGGCCCTGGAGAGCTAATTTTATAGCTCTTAACTCCAAGATGTTTATATGGAGGTGACTCTCTTGGTCTGACCAAATTCCTCTTATGGTGTTCTGGGCTGTAAACGCACCCCAACCGTGACTTGAGGCATCTGACGTAAGAGCGACTGCCACTGGCTGCTCTAACAGGGGGCGAGGAAGTGGCATTTCTAACTACAGAATGGACTTCAACTCTTCTCTGACCTTCTTGGGAGAACGAATTTTGATTCCCAATGGCTGCCCTGTCTTAGTCGATTCCATAAAAACAGCTGACTTCTTCTGCAAAGTAAGGGGGGATTTGTCCTGTGCTGGTGTTAAAGCTATTAATTTCCCGATGATCTTTGCTAGGTCTCTCAAGGACCAACTCTGGTGCATGAGGGATGAGGTCAGATGTACCAGTAATTTTTCCCATTTGTATTGAGGGATTCCTAGAGACATAGTCCTGGTGTTCAGTACGAAACCCAGAAAGAGGATGCTTTGAGTGGGAATTAGGACTGATTTCTGTAAATTTACTACAAATCCTAGGTCTTGTAAAAGGGAAGCAAGGTAATCCCTTTGAGAAGCAAGGAATTCCCCATCTGGGTGCATGAGAAGGATGTCGTCTACATAGTACAGACACATGAAACCTTTTAGTCTGGCATGAGCTATCACTGATTTCATAATTCTGGAGCATGTGTATGGTGCGTTGGATAGGCCAAACACCATAACGGTCCACTGCCACACTTTTCCTTTCCACTAAAACCTGAGAAAATGCCTGTGTTTCTTGGCTATGGGGACTGAATGGAAGGCATCTTTTAGGTCTAACTTTATGCAGAAAAAAAGCTTTCTGTACTAAGCCTGGAAGATTTGATAAACCCTCCATCCTGAACCTTTTCCTTTTGATGAAAGCGTTCAGAGACCTCACGTTTCGGTCTGGTCTCCGGAACTGTCTGATTTTGGGATTGGGAACAATGGGCTGACCCATCCTGTAATAGACATGTCTGCCAACTCTGTCTTCCCTTGACTTAAAGCTAAGGAAAGGAAGGCATTTAGCACTGGGTTCACCTCTCTGTGGGGTGCTAATTTCTGGACTGGGAACCTTAAATGGGGGAGTTGTAAACCCCTTTGAAAAATCTTTAGAACCCATTTGTCTGAGGAAATATCCTTCCAATTTAGTGGCATATGAGGATGTAACGGCCTTTAACCTCCTGAATGAACGAGGGACCGAATACGTAAGAATCTTCCAAATTTGGGAACTCATCCGATTTGGGGCTAGGACAGACCTGCTCCATGGAGCCAGTGGAATCTGTGGATGTTTGATATGTAATTAAAGGACTGGCCAATAATTAGCACTGCCCTGTCAGATGCTTTTAAAAGAGCCATCTTAGATGCCAACAGAGATGAAGCTCTTCTGGCTTATCCAGCATCAGTAATAGTGGGCCCACAGCATCAGCAATTTTGAACTGTATATTGCGAAAAGTCTGGTCTGTGGGATCAGAGGATACTCTGCTCCCAGTGATAGATAACAGAGCAGGAGCTACCTCTGGGGCCATTAAAGCCTGAATGTCCGGGATACCAATGTTGTTCCTGAGGAGAAAGTCATCCTCCTTAACCAAGGGGAATCTGAAGGCTAGTTTAGCGAAATCTCTAACCTCAGAATCGTGCTCCATAGCCCATCTGGAGTGAAATAATTTTGATGGGAGAGTCTTTCTTAGGAGGCTTACTCTGGCCATCTGAACATTGCTTAGCTTCCCTCGCTCAGTGGAAGCTGCTGAATGTACCACTTCCTCAGATTCCCAGTCTATTTCTGGAGAGCTGTATCTGGAACTGGAACGGCTTTGGGAGGAGGAGTGAGCTAACGCTCTAGAAGAGGAAGGAGAGGGACTATCTAAGCTCCAACGAGATTTGTCCTTTTTCTCTGGAAGGTGTTCCTGGTGCTCAAATGAGGGAAACACGCTATTCCTTTTTTGGGGTCCTGTCCCCTTAATTTTACGCCTACTCAAACGAGTATGAGGGGAAGGAGGATCAGATAAGTTTTCCTCAGACGAGGAACTGGCAGAAGAGACCAGCTGCCTTCCTTTATTCTTTTTGCTTAAAACTGGGACCAAATCCTCCTCAGAAGATGAAGAGGATAGATCCCTGGCAAGGAAAGCTCTCTTATGGAGCTTTCTAACATTGATGGGGCTGCCTTTAAGAGAGGCATCCACTAAATCTGTGGCAGACACAGAAATAGAGTCCTCCATGAATGATGTAATTTTAAAAATCTGAGGCAATCAGGATTCCCGCGCTCAGCATGGCTCTCCTGATTACCTGATTGGCTGAAATGCTGTTGCTGTGCACAGCGCAAGCGTTTTCAGCTCTGGCATTTGACTCCGGGAGGCTGCTGCATACCCACTAGCTTTGCTAGGTGGTTATGCCTCCCAGAGGACAAATATTGGTTACTCCTTCTCATTTAATCTCTGAACAAAATGGCAGTAAAATGTGCCTATATATGCTATGTATATATATTGCGATACACTGATTGACCCATTTTCATGCCTCTTTGATACTGATAATGGCAGGAATTAGTGCAGCTCAAATTTGGCACCCAATACAGCTGATGAACATAAGGGTTGACCTGCCACTATATATCACTTGTGCCCTTTGGAAGGTGGAAGTTCAACGCTATCCCTATAGGAACACGGAGTGCCATAAACAGAAATATTTTATTGCACTAAATAGGCCAATAAAATAAAAATGGATAATAACAATGATGAAATTATTTCTGGTATAGGCTCTATAACATCTAATCTGCCAGAATACATTAATTTACTTCTTCAGCCTTTAGTTAAAGTATATTAATCATATTCACAAGATTCTCTGCAAATGATACAAATTCTCAAAAATTTCAAGCAATCTTTGCTTGTGATGTAACATCACTCTATACTCTTATCCAACATTCCAAAGGAATAGAGGCTCTATAGTTTTCTCTAAATCAATCTGCTATGATACAGGTCCAAATAGATTTTGTGTTGGAAAATATTAGCCTTATATTGTACAGCGCTACAGAATCTAATGACGCTATATTAATAATAATAATAATAATAATAATAATATTATATTTTAACTATTTCTGTTATGGGGAAGATTTCTTCTTACAGGTGTTGGGTAATGCAATGAGCACAAGGTTTGCCCCCAGTTATGCCAATATGTTTATTGCATATTGGGAATAATTATTTGTATATTGTCAGCATTACTGGTGGGCAAACCTTATCACAGATACATAGACAACCTGTTTTGTTTATATGGAAGGGAGAGAAACAAGAGCTGCTTAATTTCCTTTCCTTCCTCAGAAACATAGAATCATACTTATCAGGTAGGAAGTAAAACTATTCTAAGACAGTTAGACTACTTACAATAAGGGGACACCAGGGAACTCCTGGCACCATAACCCCTACTGCCATTTCAGAGTCATTCTGGCACAAATCAGTCTAATTTATTAAGACTCTGAGGCTCTACTTCAATGTGATACAGTGGAAGGACATACAAATGCATTTTTTCTTGGAGAAAATAATTCATGGTGCTGGAGAAGAGGAAGAGTTAAAGGTAAGTGAGTCTTTGATTTGTTTTTTTGTGTTTTTCAATTTTTATTTGCCGTACAAATGAATGCAAAATTAAACTAATTATGACTTGACAATAGGTTGGGTAGAAAGGGTTAACTTTGTATTTTACATGTGCATAACAATATTTCCTTTATGGTAACCCTTAAGTAGAAATTAAATGAATGTAATGCATGCAAAGCTATAGCAAAAGTCTCCAGTGGAGTGGCTGACAATCCCTTAATATGTACTTGTATACCTAACTGTAAATGTATTATGCCCGGCAGTTAGGAACCTGGTGTACTTTTTTTCTGTTCCAGCATTAAAAGAAGGTATTAATAATTTAGAGTGCACCATGCTATGGTAAAGGTTTGCAAAATTTGAACAACAGTGGTCTATATGAAATTGCTGTAGTGGTTATGGTGCCTGAAGTGACCTGCGCTACCAGTGTCAAACTTTTGGACTGATTCAATTTCTTACTAGGGGTCTGCTGTGGCCCACTCCCATCCTCTACTGTGAACACCAGAGAACCTAAAGTTCCTTAGTAGCTGTAGTGGTTATGGTGCTTGGAAAATTCCTTTAACCCCTTAAGGACACATGACATGTGTGACATGTCATGATTCCCTTTTATTCCAGAAGTTTGGTCTTTAAGGGGTTAAATAAACAAAAGTACTTTTCCTTTTGAGTTGCTGGAAAAACAGAATTGGATGGCTATTTGCTTTTAATGCAATAAAAGAACAGTTATTGGGCACTCAAAATCCCTTAATAGGAGCACGTAACTTCCTTATCGAGAAAAGAACCCTGTTAGATGTCGGCTGTAAGCATCAAAGTATTTTTATTACTGATGACTAAGAACGAATCAGCACTATATTTCCATTTTCTTGGTGGTTATTTTCACATTAATCGTGGTAGCAGATGTTTTTTGATGTTATGATTTATGGTGAATTGTCAGGTCAACAAAACAAAGACCTGTTTAATTAAACTTTTGCAAAAACTTTACACCTGACAAATCATTTGAGCATGGATTATTGTCTCAGAAGACTATTTATTAAAGATGGTAACTGTCTTGTTTAATCCATTTTTCAGTTAAAACTTAGGCCTCTAATCTTTTGGATATATTTTAAAAAAATATTTAATATTGTGAAAAAATATTTTAAAGTCTTGATTATATATATATATATATATATATATATATATATATTTATTTATTATATATTATATATATAATTGTGTACTTTAATATTTTGAGAATTCTAAAAATGTTATCCAAAATTTTAAAATGATTTGAAAAGCTTATTAAAAAATATTAAAAAGAGGTTTTAGTGTCTTATATTCAAAAATACTTTCAAATAGTTGGATTTTTAACTCACTAATTTGTTTTGGATTGTTTTTTTTTTCTTCTTCTTTTTCTATTATTATTACTTTTTTCTTATTATAATTTTTATTTGGAAAGGAGGAGTTTGGAAGTTTCATGTGTACATATCATTGTATGAAATTAGCTATAACTGCTTTGGCAATAATACATTTCACATGTTTAAGTGCTCTGAAACCTGTATTAGTGTGTATGAGTTACTATGGTTACAAAACGGTTCCCATTATCATGATAATTGTATTTGGGATTGATATTGTTATAATAATTGATCTGTCCTGAAGGTGTGAGAGATTGCTATGCATTTTTGATGGATAATAATTTATATTACCTTCAAAACAATCAACAATATTTGTAACTGACTGACCCAACCATTTCAGTCTTCATTCTTGTAATATTAACTTTGAACACACAAATTATTCATGGCTCAGATGTGTTGCTGAAGAAGGGGAGAATATTTATATTCAAATCTTCCATAAAAGGACTTGTGACTTCCCTTCACAATTACTTAAATATTGATGAGACTCCTCTGGTTTCTTGACATATGTTTTTAAAGCTATTAAAATCATGCTTACCAAATAACTTTAGAATTTTCTATTCCCATATAACTGTGAAAACATATAGTCTAGCATTCAACCGGTTATATACTATAAAAAAAAAACAAATAAAAAAAGTTACTTAAGCAATATCCCAAATCCCTATGCACGTTTAAATAACTGGAGGTTTTTCAGTATGAATCCAATCCAAATTAAAGTGTTAGCTCACCTGCCACAACGAGGCAAAACTTCTTAGGTGAGTCCTACACCAACAATTCACCTTGCTGCTTTTAGCTAAAAGACAAAATCTCTGCTGAGACAGAGAGGGTTTTTTTTTTGCCAAACCTCACACACTTATTGACCTTAAAGGACCACTATAGTGCCAGGAAAACATACTCGTTTTCCTGGCACTATAGTGCCCTGAGGGTGCCCCCACCCTCAGGGTCCCCCTCCCGCCCGGCTCTGGGGAAAGGAAAGGGGTAAAAACGTACCTTTTTCCAGCGCTAGGCGGGGAGCTCTCCTGCTCCTCCTCCGCCGCCCCGCGGCTGAATGCGCACGCGCGGCAAGAGCTGCGCGCGCATTCAGCCGGTCTCATAGGAAAGCATTTACAATGCTTTCCTATGGACGCTATGCGTTCTCACTGTGATTTTCACAGTGAGAAGCACGCAAGCGCCTCTAGTGGCTGTCAATGAGACAGCCACTAGAGGATTAGGGGGAAGGCTTAACCCATTCATAATTATAGCAGTTTCTCTGAAACTGCTATAATTATGAAAAAATGGGTTAACCCTAGAAGGACCTGGCACCCAGACCACTTCATTAAGCTGAAGTGGTCTGGGTGCCTAGAGTGGTCCTTTAACAGGGAACACATGGGTGAGCTCTGCAACACACTTATTGACCTTAACAGGGAACACATGGGTGAGCTCTGCGATATGGCTCTGTAATACAAAAGCAAATAGAAACATACTGAAGCCCTGCTCTCAAACTCCCACTTCTCCTGGGCAGCAGCAAAGACTATAGACATCAGCCCCAATACATGCATTAAAAACTTAAGGAAAAAGTTACTTGCACACTATCCCAAATCACTATATTTACTACACAGTTCATATTTACTAGCATAGTGGCGATGAGGAAATATGAAAATTGCAATTTTGGAACAAAATTCAAAATGTGGAGCAATAGCTGTCGAAGGAATGTTACTGCTGACTTTATTTTATTTTTTTCAGAATTTCTTTTTTATTGGTCAACTATATTAATCATCTGGTAAACACAATGGTAAACAATATTGGTATACGATTGCATAAAGTAGCATAGCAGTATTATTAAGGCAGGTATTTAGCATCGGTTTTGTTATGTTTAGTCTTGCGGTTTCCTTGGTGTTAGGTGAGTAGCAATAGTATAGACCTGTGTTGCAATTAAGAGGATAATGGTTCTCCAGATTTGTTAGGTCCTTGTAAGAATTGATCCCAAAGTGCCCAGATAAGGAGGAATTCCCTATAATATTATATGGATATTTCTTCCATTGTTTTAATCGTACTGCTGACTTTAATGTCAGTATGTTGATGTAAACAATTTTGGGGGAGATATAAGTAAACAGGTTTCCTCTCACTAGTATTGTTGTTTTCCTTTGAATGTAATAAGATTCAGCTTGTCAATGCAGAAATTAAAGGATATTGGGTGAAATTCAATCAGATCCGATCCCGGATGGGTGGAGAACGCCTTAGTGCTCTCT